TTCCACTGGAAAAAATGCACATGGAATCTCCCTTTACTTAGCTCCTGGGGCCAATGATTATGATTCATTAGCTGATATAGCTTTCTCTAGGTGACAGCTTTCTTCAAACAGTGAACACCAACCACCCCCTGCAAACACAGCTTGTTTTCAACACAATGCTCTTGGTTTGTTGTTTCATTACTGAGCTTCATTAGCTGAAAAAGCAAAGGAGCTGAGATCTGACAACAATGTAATTAATGAACACGTAGTGAAAATAGCTTGGTTGAAAACCTCTGAGCTCCAAAGTGCAGCAGCTTAGCTCAGAAGAGACTGAGTGCTGCCAGAGCCCTACACTCAGAAGCTTGCCTCCATTGCTGAATCCAAGGCCTTGGATTTAGATGATGCCTCCCATCTGAAGCTGCAGTCTTGTGGCCAGGTCATTTTGACACCTTGGAACTACATGTCTGAGACTGAATGGAAAACTTTGCCTTCTCTCACAATCCATGAAATGTTCAGCTTGATTGTGGCCAGACTTAAAAATGTGGCATCAAATCATTGAAGGAGAAAAAGCAAGCTTTGGATCATGGCTTTGGTTTTGCACCTGTACATGAAATATGGGAAAGCGCAGCCTTCCTTGACTGAGATCTACAAGTGGAACAATGTCCCCACCACCACCTTCAAGATGGAAAGCGCTCCTGCTTTGTGGCCAGGCCAGCCCAATAGCCAAAGAGCCCTTCAGAGATGGGTGAGGACTTCTTGAAGAAGGTTTATGGAGCTGATCTGATCCACCAACCTGAGAGAAGTTCCTGGAATTCACAGTTTGCCCCAGTTGGTCAAGTTGAGAAGCACCAGCATAGAACTCAGAAATGAGAAGGCAGCGCCAGCTGCGCCGACAGAAAATGTGGACACGCAGGTTGCACAAATGCCCAGCCCCCAGCAGCAAGGAACTTTCTTTGAGACTATGATGGCTATGATGAGGGCACACGCTAAAGTCATGGACCAACAGAACCATCAGTGGCATGGGCGCTGACCAAAAAACGAGCTCTGGCTCTTCCACAGATTTGCCCCTTGCCAATGAAGCCAAGGAAGCTGATGATTTGCCAAAGTCTGTGAACGCTAACAAAGAGAAGTCAGCCAGACCTTCCAAGTCATTGGAGGAATTTGAAAAGGAAGCTTTTGATGCTTTGGCAAAGAAGAAGGCAGCCAAGGCAAGGCACCTGGTGGCAAAGGGGCATGCCTCAAAGGTGTTCTGAAGAAGCCTGCAAAGTCAACAGTCACCAGGTCCACTCCCTTGAAGCTGGGCTGCAGAAAGTGCAGGGGATCTGGTTGCCATCAGTGCAAGAACCCTTTGTACAAAGGGTTGAGAATGAACAGAGAAGAATGGAAGGTGTGGGCAGCAGCAAACAACAAGAAATGATTTGTCTCACTCAGTGTGTCAACATATTGCAATGCAATATGCTTTGGGTGTGCTCTTGAAGGTGTAGAACACCTTGAGATTTGCCATGTGAGAAAACATTTGTCCCTCATATGCATTGTTGTTGCAATAGCCTTGGTTGGTTCCATCTTGTTGTTGCTAGCCATGTTTGGCTGCATGCTGAGTCTTCCACCTGTACCTTAGCCATGGTTGGCTACAAGAATGTCTGGTGCACATTGCAGCTGTTTTCTTTGGCAAAAAAAGCCCAGGCAAGCATTCCAAGTTTGGCAGCCTTTCACACTAAGAGGTAGGCAAGACATCATTGCCATAATGTTAGTGTCTGGTCCAGCAAGGTTGGCATGAAAGATTTCCAGCTCTGGTAGCCACTCCCTGTTTGCATTGGCCTAGATGAAAAACATGGAAACCCCAAGTGCTTCTGGCTCTGCTTCCAAAAGATTGAAAAGGTTGAATGACTTGAGACAGAAAGTGCCTCATTGCAGCAAAGCTGCATTAGAAGCAATTCTCAGGGATATTCGTGACAAAGGGCTCCCAAAAGCAAAATCAGCCAAGAAGATGAGAGCTGCTGCAGATGAGGCTTTGTCTGACTGTAACCGGTTTGGTGATTTGCTGCTGCCACAAGAGGTAACCATGAAAGATGGAACTGCACCAGCAATTACAATCGTCAACCTGCTTTCCTTTGTGTACAAAGCTTGGCCAGTTCTACGCAGTCTTGAATGAAGTGTGGCAAAAACATGGGCCCACATCACCAAGCAACAAATTCAATTTGGTGCTCTACTCAGATGAGTGTTTTCCAGGCAATCCATTAAGTGCAAAGGCAGAAAAAATTGTGGGTAGTGTACGCTACCTGGAAGGAGCTTGGCTATGAGCACTTGAGCAACCAGAACATGTGGATCCCACTGTTTGTTTGCAGGTCGACATTCGTCAGCCAAGTGGAGGGACACATGTCTCAAATCATCAAGGTCATCCTCCTTAGCATTTTCAATGGGGAGCAAGGAACCCTGCCTGACACTTTTGGTGTTTTGCTGCATGGTCCAAGCAAAGAACAACTTCGGTTGCACTTTGATTTCAGGATCCTGTGCCAGGATGGTGCATCTCAAAAGTATTCTTTTGGCATCAAGGGAGGCAGCGGTTCAAAATCCTGCCTCAAGTGCACTGAAACAGCCATTGTTCCTCCTGGCGCTGATGCTGAGGAGGCTGCACTTCGGGAAAGGATCATGAAAATCCAGGGTGGCAAAAAGCAGTTGGCAGTTGCCATCAGCAGCTTTTGCCAAAAAGTGAAGAACAAGATGACGGACCCAGAAAAAGCCCGTGCCTTAGCGCGTCTGAATGAAAGTCTTGAGAATTGGGAAGAGAAGATGCTGGAACAGGCCAACAAAGCTGCGTTGCGCAGTCAAGAGTTGCTCCAACGTGCCTTCGCTCCTTGCACTCTTCGCTACCAGGAGGGTCTGCAGTGCAAGCGAACCTTGATGAACTCTCCCAGTTGACTGAAGACAAGGAGAGAGCCGCAGAGAAGTGCAAGCGCATCTACAATTTGGCAGATCCGGAGGTGCAATGTGCCCTTGCGGCGCGGAATGGCGGGTTGAAAGATATGATTGCTTCCGTGACTTGGCTTCCCTTGGATCCCTTTTTTTGGTGAACTTCAAACTCACGAAAGGTGGCCTGCGCATGCCTGGGCTATGGTAGGAGTTTTGCTTGCTTTGGTAGGTTTTGTACACCCCGTTAATGAACAGAACGGGTGCTCCTGGGAGATGTTTTTCATGCAAAAAACTGAGTTAAAACACTGTGTTTTACAGTGATTTCTTGCAAAAGCCTCTCCAAAATTGAGGTTTTGAGCTATTTTTGGATCAATTTTGTGAGATCCCAGCCTATCCCAGTTTAGAGGGAATACCCAAAAAACAATAAACCAAAAAACCAACAAACCAAAAAAAAGCCATGTTTGAGACACAATGCAGCCAACATCCAAAAACCAATAGTGCCCCCATTTTGTTTCAAACATTGTCTCTTTTTTTTGGTTTGTTTGGTTTTTGTTTTTTTGGTTTATTGGCTTTTGGTTTTTTGGTTTATTGCTTTTTTGGTATTCCCTCTAAACTGGGATAGGCCTGGATCTCACAAAATTGATCCAAAAATAGCTCAAAACCTCAATTTTGGAGAGGTTTTTGCAAGAAATCACTGTAAAACACAGTGTTTTTGCTTCATTTTAGTTGCGCAGTATTTACAGTGTTTTCTAAGGGTTTTGAGCTAGTGTGTGCTCTCCCAAGCACACCCACCCTCTAAATGAACCGGGCTTTGACTGCAACACTGTTGCCGTGGATGTTTTTGATCGTAAGGAAGAGAAAGCACTTCGGGGACTAGAGGAGCAGAACCACCGTCTTGTGGAGCAGAAGGAAGGTATGAGCAGCTCAAGGAGAAGTATCGAGACATGGGAGTACAACAGCGAAATGAAACAAGGAATATTCGCGACTGGCACGTCAAGAGCTGGTGGCGATTCTGGTGGAAGGACGAAATGGAGGTGTACGACAACCAGGTGAAGAAGGATGAAGAACAGCGTATGTCAGATGAACAACTACATGATCAGAAGTTGGAAGAGATTGAGAACAATCTTACGGATATCAATGTCCAGAAAGGAAAACGGCAGGAGCATCTTGTAGAGCTCAGGAAGAAGGATTCTGAAAAGTTTTGGCGAAATATTCTGAATTCGCAAGGCTTGCTGTCAGCAGAGGCCGAAGTGGAACAGAAAGATGCAAGCCTTAAAGTTTTGCAAGATCAGTTGCTGGAAGTTATGAGAGCGACAGGAGTTACTAATCCTGAAATGGCCACAAGACTTATCACCCAACATGAAAGGACCAAGTTCTTGTATTCGGAGGTTAGTGCCAAATCTCCAGAGGTGGCCACGAATATGCAAGAATGGCTGTCGTTGGCAGGAAACATCATCCGTGACCCCACCATTTCCATCGATGCCCTTCCAATGGCGCTGCTCATCCTTCACGACGAGCATCAAGAACAGATGCGGTCGCTCCAGAAGTCCAGGCCCCAATTTTTGAAGAGGATCTGGGACTCGAAGACCCTCGCCCTGAGTCCACCCGCTTTGAACGCCACGGCGTGAATTTGGCCACTTTCTGTGTGTCTATGGTACGGACATGCGAAACGCCTGAATGCAGGTGAAACCCGGCTCATTTTACGAGCTGGCCAGGTTCATGCATAGATTTTGCCGTGACGGAGTTAAAGAAAAACCTTGCCTGATTTCCCACGTGAGAGGTACTGTCTTGGGATTTTGCGTGCCCTGCTGGAGTGTGGAATTTGTTTTTCTGGGAGACTGCAACATACTGACTGCAGCTACACTGCAGCTACACCCAGCAAGCTGAAAGCAGTGAGAAACACGAACCTGTGAATGTCAATGATGTTAATCAGCATGGGTGTCAATCAGCATTTTTCTGGCCGGTGGCCCTATATCTAGAAGTTTTGTCAGCTGCTTGTAGTTGCAGGTCTCGAAGCCTTTTCGGTTCA